GAGGCAGGAAGCAGCTCGGCCACTGCTGGTCCACAGAGCATCAGAAAGGGCTAAGGGAGCTGCTGGGAGATGATGGGCAGAGGGGAATGGGATGGGAAGGGGAAGGGGGTCTGCTGGGCAGCTCTGGTACGACCACACACCTCCCAGCTGGAACAGAGGGTGTGAGAAACCTCCTTTCCCCATGCCCAGGCCAGCGCACCGGAGGGGGAGGTTTGGTCCTGCTCAAGCCGGAGCCCTTTGGGGTGCTGCAGGAAGGTGAAGTAGGACAGAGACCCAGCGAGAGGCCTGGCACTGCTTCCCCTCACCTGGTACTCACACATTCACCCTGCGCCATGAGGCACGTGAGCTTTTCCCATCCATCCATCCATCCATCCATCCATGTCCCTCCTGCCAAGAACAGGTGTTGGGGTGAGGGTCCCTCCCTCATCTACTTTCCTCACGTGCTGATCACAAAAAGTTAAACCTTCCAGTATCTAAAGACCTCCCAGTTTCCTCCACCCAAGGGCCAGAGTCAGAGAGCAAACTAGCAAAGTGGGTGCTGCAGACAGCAAGCTGGGGGCACAGTGAGCTCCTCCCCTGTGCAGCCCAGTCATGAAAACTCTCACCCCTCCACTCACTCCTCTATTGCACGTAGCAGCCATTCCTAAATGGTTATCCTGTGCTTTGGCATCTTTTGGTCAATGACACTTGCCCACCAGTGTGGGGTTCACACGTGGGGATGTGCAGTAGCAAGCTCAATGGGATTTTATGGGAATCTGAGAGTAGAGTCCCAAAGAGCTTCCTCCCTATTCTTTGAGGTACTTGGCTGGCACTGATGTTCCTCAGGGATGGGTGAACAGCAGCCCAAGGACCATTTCTGCCCTTCCACTAGGAGGGTTGAGGAGCTGGAATCGGAGGGACACTCCACCTTGGTCCCCAGTGACCCCTCATCACCAGTGCAGGGGCCAGTAGGGAAGGAGGGAAGTGAGACCAAGGGAAGCCTCGGAGAAAGCAAGCACCAGCAGGACCTCTTGTGTGGATGGAGGTTTGGAGGTCTGGGCAGGAAAAGGAGGCTCCTACACAGGAAGCAGAGCAGGGGGAGCACAGGTCCTGCTCAGCACCTCCTGCCTCCTGCTCCTTTGGCACCTGAGTCTCCCCTTCCCCATCTAAATCCTCCCTACATCCCCGCACATTTCCCAGCAAAGGAGCACACAGGCAGCAGAGACACAGAACACGGGAGCCGTTCCCTGGCGGAGCGGATCCATCCCTGTCAGCTCCCGGGGAAAAGGGAGGACTCGTAACGCGACTCTCCCAAAAGAAACCCAAGAAAGACACGTCAGGACAGAGACAGACCCAAACTGCCAGGACAGGCAGCTGCAAACAAACAGCTATTGCAGATGTGATCTGACTCACTGCAGGGTGGGGCAGGAAAGGGGCTCACAACCCCAACCAGAGCTGGAGCCCTCTCTGCAGGGAAACCGAAGTCTGGCAGCTGGAGATGGGGAGGGAGCGGGATGGATTTGCTGGGGAGATGTTAGGAAAAGCTCAGGGAAAAAAACCATGATCAGAGGCTACCCACAGTGTTCCTGACACCAGATGAGCTCCATGAACCGGAGCTGGCCTCCTTGGAGAGCTTCTGGCAGATCCTGACTTGCCCTTTCTGCTGAGAGCAAGGAATGGGAGCTGGATGAGACCCCTCCAGATGGAGTGGGAAGCAGTAACTCCACATGAAGCCACCTGCCCCTGGAGGCAGGGTAGAGGCCAACAGCCCTAAACCTCTCTAGCCCATGCAACCACAAGTCCTGGACGTGGCTTTGCATTTTGAGCTCAACAGAGCCAAACCAAAGCCCTGCACTAGTCTGACAGCCCTCGGTGTCCATGTGGGGCTCTCCTCCTCTCCAATTCCCCTTCTACATGGCCCCTATTTCACATGTATCTCCCAGGGTTTTCATTTCTTGCAGATGAGACGCTGGAGAGATGTGGCCGGACCCCTCAGCCCTGCACCCTGCTACGGCAGCTCCAGCACCTGGGGGAGGTCACCCCGTGCTTGCATGACTTGGGAGGCCGTGAAAATGATGAAGCTTCACATGTTGAGTCATTCCACCATCAGGAGAGGAAGCAATGAATTGCAGAGATACAGAGGTGGTAACTAAATTTACAAGTAGGATCCATTTAAAAAGGAGGAAGAAAAAAAATCCAACCATATATCAAAGTAGAGCAAGTTGGAAAATTCTGTTCATTAGTTTTCTTCCAAAAGTTTCAATGAACTATTTCACATTCTCATTGGAGTGAGACCATTCCTCAAATCCTCAGTGAAAAGGGACCTTTTTTCCCTAAAACCAGAAAGGTTTAATACTTTTAGGAAGAAGGAGTTGAATCAGCACCAGTAGAGAAGGGAACTGAGCGCTCAGGAGGGAGGGTGCCTCTTGGTGAAAGTCTCTCCCCAGGCATCACTTGGAAGTGAGGAGCCAAGCGATTATCGGCGTATGGATAAATATGACTGCAATATACAAGTGCTGCCACAGGGACATGGACTGAGCTTACGGGGGTCACGCACCTACAGGGCATCCTCTAAGAAGGTCATTGCCCTAAAACCAACTGATTGCAGAGTTCAGGGCTGGCCTCAGAGGACATAGAAACCACACAGATGTGGCCCTCTCTGTTCTTCATGCCAGGAGATCCTCACTACAACCCAGAGCACCATTCTGAATTTCCCACAGCTTATGGAAGCAGTCTCTCCATCTTTGACCAAAGGAAGCATCTTTCAACATCCCCCCTTGGTCTCTAGGTGCAATCGGGGTGAAAATTTCCGTCATGTCCCAAATATGCCCCAGGCACAAACCTCACACCAGCGCTGAGATTCATCTCTCCTTCCACAGGGAACCTTAACTTCCAGTATTTGGGTCCCATTTGAGTTGAAGGAGACAGGCTCCACCAGAACATCATTTAATGAATAATGTTTTCAAGGGCGATGAATCACTCTCTGAATCTGCTTTTCTCTGCAACGGAGGGAGCTTGGATCAGCCACGATTTTTAGACAGCAAATGCATGGGAAGAGGAATCCCATGATGAGAGCCTACCTCCTGCCTCATCCCAGAGCCAGCACTAAATCCTACCCTCTCCCTGCAAAGCAGACCCCCCAGGACAAGCTGTCAACCTCCCTTTTCCCCTGTCCCGACTACCTGGGAACTAAAGGTGTAGGATTAGCAGGAACCAGACTGGGAAATCATCTTCCAGCATGTGCAAGTGTACCGGGAAGCCAACCCTTGCATCTGGCACCGTTCACAGCAGTATCATGAATATTATTAGTAATAGACCTACCCATCCTAATATTATATTTCTATATACAAAAATAGATCCACAGAACTCTACGTGAAGAGGTGGCTGAGGGAAGGCAACGGATGAGCCCTGGGTGGCAGGGACTTGGAGAAAGCCAGGGGACATGTTGCATATATTTCTCCAGGGGTTCCGTTTGCTTCCCTCTGCTCTCACACCCCTTGGAGGAGGGACCAGCAGGAGGACCTGAGCACTGGGACATCCTCCCAGCTCCAGCTGCCCTGGCCGATGGGCTGATGGCAGCAGGGTCACCCCTGAGAGCTGGCACCGCACCTTTGCAAGCGGAGATGGGGCTGAGTCCAGGACCAGGAGGAGCTCCCCGTAACTGCAGCAGCGGGTTGGGCTTCTTATCCTCACAGCAAGCAAAGCACGAAGCACTGACCCCGAGTCAGGTTTCCTCCTGGTCTGCAGATGGCCCAGCCCCAGGGCTTGGTTCAGACCCATCTCCAGTTTGTCGCAGGAACACCCTCAGCAGTACCCACAGAGTTCGCCCACCAGCATGACACTGGTGTTGGTGTGACACACTGGTGGGGCAAGGAAAGCGAGGGGAGGACTCGAAGACAACTTCTGCAGGGAGGGAAGGTGGGGCTCCCATCTTCCAACACCCCATATTGCCCTCTTTTTCCCTCCAGCCCATAGCAGGAGGTGCAGGAGTCCCCCTCAGGGTGGGTGCTAACCGATGAGGCGAGCACAGGACGCACACTTGTGTTTGTGATCTTCATTCTGTTTAAAGTGAATTCAGTGCTGGTGGAAGGTACCAGATCGGGGCTCTCGGTGCCTGTGGCATCGATGGAGCTGGGCAGCAGCTCCCATCCCGCCGGGGTTTGCGCTCTGGAGGCAGCCCTTCAAGGCATTGAGAAATGAATGGCAATTTCAACCCGGCTTCTTGTTCTCAGCCAAATCCCAAAGGGGACCTTTCCCTCGCTGCAGTCGGGCAGAAGCGAGTGGGCTGGGCTGCCTCCCATAGCTCCTTCCCCTGCCAGAAGGTTTCTAAAGCTTCCCACACCTTCCCTTCCTCTTTGAGACAGAAAAATACGATGCCACCTCATTTTGAAGCTCGCTTCCTTCTCCCAGAGGCTTCCAAGCCCAGATGGAAGCCACTGCCACTCGCAGGGCCCTGCCTGCCGTGGGGAAAGCCCCTGCCACTGGCAGGACCCTGCATCACCCCAGCCCTTGGAGAAAGCAGATTTAAAGCCACGTGAGAGCAGAGAGGCCACCCAAAGAAAGTGCTGGAGAGGGAGAAAGACAGAGAGAAGGAGGTCTGGCTCCTGGAGGACTCCTGTACAGGGGATGCATTGACCTGACTTGTCTCCCCATGGGGAAGGACCACACCATGGGGCAGTGGCAGCTCTGAAAACCCTCTGAGAGCAGACTCCTGAGGATACACACCCCCCACCCCCCCAGGTCTTCCTCCTCTTTTCCTTTCCTAGTCCCTCACCCACATGTGCAAAACCACCACTGCCCCTCAGCGGGTGCCAGCTCCTCCGGCCACCCCTCTGCGGGACCCCCAGCTCACCAGTCTCATTCCGGGAGGTGATGGGGCATCCAGTCTCATTCCGGGAGGTGATGGTGCATAGGGGGGAGCGCTGCAGAGCAAAGGGGTGCCGGCAGAGGAGGGGGATGGCGAGGAGAGGAGGAGGATGAGGAGGAAGAGGAGTAAAGCCTGCTTCTCCTCCCCGGGAGGGTCATACCGGCTTATCCAGCGTCTTGGGGAAAGGCGTGCCGCTGGAGGAGGAGATCTTCCTGCAGACCGTGTTTGTGTGGCTCTGGCAGCGGCAGCCGGGTCGTTTCAGGCCATCGTAACCCCGCTGGCAAAGTTTGAGGCACCCCAGGGTAGGAAAGTAGCAGCAAAGGCAGGGCATGAGGAGGGAGAGGAAGCTCATGGCAGCCCAGCGGGCACAGCAGGACCCCGGCCCGCAGGAGCAGGGGTCATCGGCGCAGGTATCCTCGTCGTCGGTGGAGCAGTGGTAGAAGAGACCCTTGACGCAGCAGAGACAAGTCCCGTAGTCGAGGAGGCTCTCGGGGGAGCAGAGGCAGCGCCGGTTG